AAAAACGAGAGAAAGACGGGGCTGGGCGCTACAACAGCCGCTGCCGGCTCCTCAGAGCTCAGGCCAGAGTGGCGTCCGGGCAAGTCCAGCTCAGCAGCAGGTGTGCAAGGCAGGCTGCAGTCCCGCGTGTGCCCGGGGCTCAGGGAGCGGCCGGCCGTGTCCTCAGACGGCGCGGGCGGAGAACCAGGAACGAGGACTGCGTGTCCCCAGTGCGCACAACCAACCCAGAGGGATTCCGGCACGCGGCCAGATAGCTTTCAAATGTCAGAGCCGTTGTTTTCAGGACTCACGGATAATGAGGCCAAACGAGGGGAAAATGTCACTCGCTTCCACTGCAGGTTTTAGAGGTGAGCGTTCCTTGAAACAGAGCTGACTGTCTACCCTGTGGGTGCACACGGAGCCCAGCACAGTGATTCTCAACCTTCCCCAGGAGCTAAAATGCAGATCCCCGGACCCCTGCCCAGACTGGATCAGAAGGCGACCGTGATGCAGGGGGTTTAAGACCCACGCATGCAAACGACTGGCACAAAGGGAAAATGCTGGGCTTCACTTTGGGGGAACCCGTCCACAGACAGTCAGGGCTGCGGCCTAGCCCTCAGCACGCGCTCATAGAGGCAGCAGCCCGGCCCGGCCCGAGCCAGCGGGGCCCATGTAGGCCCGGGGCGCCCCTGCTCGCTTCTGTGTTTGCTAACATTTGCTGCTCCCCCATTTCCTGGGGTCCCTCTCCTGCCCGGGCGTGAGTGGCGAGGCTGAACCTTGCGAAGAGATTCTCCCCATTTCATCGACGCTCCTTGGGGGAGAAACGAGGAAGGGGAAGGACAGCGGAGCTTCCCAAGGGGCCAGGAAAGCCCTGCCTTGTTCTCCCTCTTGTGCTCTAGGCACCCCCTGCACCGTGGGGCCCGGCTCCTCGCCTCTCCCACCCCAGAACCGCCGCGGGGGGCCGAGGGCTGTGGAGCTCCATTTTCCAGAGGCCTCTCGGTTCAATACTTGGGCCGCTCCACTGCATTCTCAACAGTATCCTCCCAGTGATAGGAAAAAGAAAACCACCCAAATCCAAGCCCAGCTTTAAATTCCCTCATCAGCTCCCAGCTGCTAGAGCAAGGTTTGGGAAACCTCTCTGCACAGGGCAGATGGTAACTGTTGCAGATGTTGTGGGCCAACACAAAAATCAAGGCTACTTTGTGGGTACTTATGTAACAAGAGGGAAAAAAATGTTCGCAACATTTTACTAGTGAAATTCAAAATACAGTAACAAGGACAGCTTTCTTTTTTTTAAATAAGTTAGAGAAGAATGGATTTCTTTTTTAGGCGGGGGAGACAACATCTCCATTGGGGTTCAAAGTTAGTGTTTCCTACTGTCAACTCAATTTATATCGCCTGTAAAATGATCACAGATTCCACGATCGTCCGTAAGAACCTTATTCTTCGGGCCATACGGAGGCAGGAGTGAGGTGGGTCGGCCTGCAGAGCCCATTGTTTGGGACTGTTGTCTAAAGGATCAGGTCCCAGCCCCCGCAAACAGCCTGGGAGCCATGCCCACGTCCTCCCAGTGTCCCTGACAGACGGTCCTCCCAAATTACTCTCTGCTGTTGTTTTTCCTTTATTGATTTTTTTTTAAGAGGGAGAGGGAGAGAGAGAAACATCGATGAGAGAGAACATCAACTGACTGCCTCCCGCATGCCCCTCACTGGGATCAGGTCCATAACCTGGGCATGCGCCCTAACTGGGAATCGAACTGGTGACCTCTTGGTGCGTGGGTCAGTGTTCAACCACTGAAGCACACCGGCCAGGCACTACTCTTTGCTTCTTTTTTTTAGCCTCACCTGAGGACATTTTTTTTTGCATTTTTCTTCAGATAGAGCAAGAGGGAGAGAGGGAGGAAGAGAGAGAGAGAAACATCAATGTGAGAGAGACACATTGAGTGGACAAACTATAACCGAGGTATGTGCCCTTAGCAGGAACTGAACCCAGGACTCTCTGGTCCGTAGGCTGATGCTCTAACCACTGAGCAAACCAGTCAGGGCTACTCTTTGCTTCTTAAGTGGGTCTTACTCTCTAGCCTTATAGCCTCACCTTCCAGCCCATTTCCAACCTGGGAATCCTGGTCTCTCCCAGGCTAGACTCTTTCAGGACTAGTTATTAAACACCTTCCCTAAACCTCTCCCTCACTTCCTCCAGTCCAGGGAAAAATGAGAAATCCAATATAAAACTAGATGTTATCATGGGAAATGACTAGTAAAAACCCAGAAATTTAAGAAATTCATGAGACTACTTTGCAAATCTCTATGCAAATCAATCTGAGAGTGTAAATAAAATAGGTAATTACCTAGAAAAATACAGGTCACCAAAATAACCCCGTTAGAGATAGGAAGTGTCAACAAATCAATTTTTGTAGAAGAAATAGAGAAAGTTGTAAAGGAATGTTCTCACAAAAGAAGCACCAGGCCTAAAGAGTTTCATAGGAAGTACAAACCTTCAAAGACTAGATAGTTTTAATGCTGCACAAATTCCTTCAGTGCATGGAAAATAAAGGTAAGAAAGGAGACTTGTCTTGGGGTGGTGAACACAACACAATACGCAGGTGATGTAGTATAGGATTCTACACCTGAAACCTATATAATTTTATCAGTCAATGTCACCCCAATACACTCAATGAAAAAGAAAATAAAGGTAAGCTTCCAAATTATTTTTATGAAGAAAATATAACATTGATACGTAAACACTATTACTTATAAATATTGGTGCAAAAAAATCTTAAAATAAATATTAGCAAACAGAATCAACCTCATATAAGAATATAATTCAATATAACCAAGCACATTTATTCCAAGAATGCAAGGTTGGTTTAATATAGTAATAAAACACACCGTATTAAGTGATCTAAGAAGAATAATCTGATTATCTCCACCAATGCTAGAAAAACATTTCCTAAAATCCAACACTTATTTCTAATTAAAAAACAAACAAACAAACAAAAAAACACTCATGAAAATAGAAACTGATGGCTACTTCCTTAATGTGATAAAATATGTAACCTTAGTCCTAAAACCAGCATCTACTCAATGAAGAATCACTAAAGGCATTTCCACTAAGATCAGGAACAAGACAAGCATGCCTATTATCTCCACTACTGTTCATTATTGTACTGGAGGTATGAACCAATGCAATTAGACAAGAGAAATCAGGTAGAACCATAAGAACTGAAAAGCAAAAAGTAAAACTATTTGCAGATGATACTTGGGAAACCTGAGAGAATCAATGCTCAAATTAACTCAGGCAAGAAAAGAATTAAGCCAGCTAGCGGAATATAAAATTAACACAGAGAAACCAATAGTCTTCACATACATAAAAATAACGAGTTGGAACATATAATACTGGACACAACTCCATATACAATAGTATTAAAGAAGATAAAATGCTTAGAAATCAGTCTAATTAGAAATGGGCAAAACCTATAAAGGTACACTTTAAAATGTCCCTAAATGATACAAAAGTAGACATCAACAAATATAAAGACATCCTTGTTCTTGAGAGAAATGACGAAACACAATAAAGATGTCCGTTCTCCTGAGGTTCATTTACAAATAACACAATGCTCCAGAAAATACCACTAAACTTTTTATTGAGACAAGTTGACACTAAAATTCATGTGGAAAAAAAAGCTAGACTATCTAGAAAACCGGATATTCTAGGGTGAGAAAAACCACAAGTAGTGTCTAACCCTACCAGATATAGAATGAAATCTATGAAATCTTAAATTTAAAACAATGAGGAACCAGTATTTGAATAAACAAAGCTATCAGTGGAGCAGAAGAGAAATCCAAAAACAGATTCCAGTACATGTGGCACTGTAGTATATGATGAATTGAAGGTGTTATCCCAGACCACTGGGCTCTTTTGTAAAAATGTGGACAACTGGGTAGCCATTTAGAAAAAGAGGTAGCCCTGGCCAGTTTGGCTCAGCGGTTAGAGCGTCGGCCTGTGGTCCGGAGAGACCCGGGTTCGGTTCCCGCTAAGGGCACGTACCTCGGTTGCAGTTTGTCCCCGGCCCTGGTTGGTCGTGCGGGTGGCAGCCACTCGATGTGTCCCTTCATGTCGATGTTTCTCTCTCTCTCTCCCTCCCACTCTATCTGTACAAAAAATGGAAAAATATCCTCGGGTGAGGATAAAAAAAAAAATAAATAGAAAAAGAGGTAACATTTGATTCATACCTCACACCATCCATGCAAATAAACTCCAAATTAAAAAAGAAAGAGGTGTGGGGTACAGACTGACAAACCTCAGAAGAGGGGGATGGGAGGAGGGAAGAGAGAGACCACAGAACTTATATGCATGTATGTGTAACCAATGGACATAGACAACTATGCTGGGGTGGGGCGGGGCGGGATCAGGAGGAGAGTGTTAATGGGGGAAAAAGGAGAACCATCTGTAACAAAACTTAATTAATTAATAAAAAATAAATAAAATAAATAAAAAAAGAAAGAGGTGATAGAAAGAGATTTGATTTGGGGTGATGAACACAATACAATATACAGAAGATATACACTGTACCCCTGAAACCTATATAATTTTAGAATTAGAATTGTACCCTTGAAACCTATATAATCTTATTAACCAATAAGATTGTCACCCCAGTATGCTCAAATAAAAATGAAATAAATATATAAATACTAGAAGAAAACACAGAAGAATTCCTCTATAAGCTGGGTGTACCGAGAGAGTACAATGAAATAAAAGACCGATGAATTGCACTCCATAAAAATTTAGAAATTTTTCCATGGTAAAAATAATTGATAATTCATTAAAATATATCTGTGTACAAGAGGGTTACGGTATCTTTTACTGAAAAAGTGTGAGTTTGGATCAACTGCCGAAGCGAAGTCATCACACCTAAGTAAGCCACTTGGAAAGGCCCATTCTGAAAAAGCATGGTGGAGGAGAGAAGGTGACCTGAAAGGGGGGAGGGGGCTTTCTTCTGCATGCGTGGGCCACAGGTTTACCTTGTTCAGTTTCTTGTGGGCCCCACTGTGGTTCCCCTGCACCAGGTCAGCCCCACTCAGGAGCCGGTATGTGTCTGCCACCTCGGGGCTGAGATCCCCGAACACGCCCACTTTGGCCTCCAGGGACTTTCTCAGGATCGAGGTTGCTCTCTGTGAAAACAAGGAAAATCTCCTGGTTAAAAAGTTCGCAGGCTGATGAACATCTGTGCCTAAGAAAATGATGCAACTCACGTGCATTCTCCCCTTTCAGGGGGATGCGTTTGGGCAGAGCGTCTCATGAGCTGAGTCTCCTTTCCCCCAGTTAAACAAGAGACAGAAATGACATCCATTGGGGGGGGGGGGTGAACTATGAAGAGAGAATTCATAGAGGACACCCAGAGAAAAAGCCACTTCAGAGATTATGAGAATCCATTTTAGCAGAGTAGGAACTAAAAAGCTAGTGTGTCCTTTATGTGTCAAGAACGGTGCTACACAGTTTCCGTGTGTGACCTCGCGCCATTTCGATCCTCACTTGACAGATGAGGAAACTGAGACACAGCTGGCAAAACACTTGCTCCGTCGGACAGCTCATCAATGGCAGGGACAGGATCTGAATCGGCCAGTAATTTCAATCTTTTTTGGGTGCAGGGTCTTCTCCCTCTGGGCACAACGACATTCTCACTTTAGCGAAAATGAGTTTCCCAGTGACTTATCCATTTACAGAACATCTCGAACATATGCTAGGGTTTTCTACTTCCCATAAGAAAATCGTTTATGAAACCAAAAGCAAATATTCCACCGTGATAGGAAAAAATAAGAAAGAAATATAGTTGACATTTTGTTTGGTCTATCTGATTTATTTATACCAACATGGAATCAAAAACCTGAGTTGGTCAGAAACCAGTATCTTCTGATGTTCAAGCCTTAGGTCAGAAACCAAGACATACAGAGGGACACCCCGTATGTCGATCTCCCCGTGTTCCTCCTGAAATTCTTCCAGGATCTTCGACGAGGCGGGACTGCAGGTGCAGAATATAAACGCTGGATTTGGGAGCTGAGTCACCAGGGAGATGCTGTCCCCACCACACAGACCCAAGGGCGTCCACACAGAAGAAGCCAGCAGGACTTGAGTCCTCCCTTGGCACTAATACGAGTCAGGTGTTTCGGGAACCACAGCAAAGGTGCTGATGAGGCAGAAATATTTCGCAGGGGGAAAGGGGAACCCCTGTAGGGGCAGAGGCCATGTGTACATTGGGAACGTGTGACCCGCCGTGGCGCCTGAGGCACTAGCTGCCACGCTGCACCGAGTCCCCTGCGGTACCTGTGAGCAAGGGCTGAGGGCGGTGCACGGGCTGGGACAGCGCCTTTCCCACGGGGACTGACTGCCAGGCTTCGAGGAGCCAATGACAGAGGAGCCAGACTCTTTTTCCGAAATGAAGCTGTCCATGCCCCTTACAGCCCGACCGGGGAGACCAGAGACAGATGCGCGACCGCAATCGACCAGGCGCCACGTGGGCTTACCGGACAGGCTTGGCAGCCCGAGAGGGGAGGAGGTCGGTGGGAGGAGTAAGGGACAGCAGGACTTAGACGGGTGAGAGGAGGGCGTGGGGACGGGAGCACGGGCCTGAGATGGGGGAAGCCCACGGGCCAATCCCACCGGGCTGTGGCGGGGAACGTAGGAAAGGGAGCAAGGGAGATGAGGGGGTCGCAGGCTGGGCTGGCGGTGGAGGACCCCGTGCCAGGCCGAGGAGTTCAGAGAAGGGACTTGAGCAGGCAAGTGGCACATCGGGAAGATAAACCCCAGAGAGACCTTCCCTTCCATTTTACCTTACAAGACACTTTCCTCCCCAAAGATCACCCGCCCGTGGGTGCAGGGTTCTAGCCCAGGTGTAGGTAGTGACCACACCTGGGATGGTCCTTGCTCATCGCCGGGACTGTCCTCGGGCCCAGCCCCTGTTGGCCGACTCCTGCTGCAACCCACAGTAAGAGGTCTGTGGCCAAGGGGAGAACCACGCGAGGTGCCACGTTTGTCTGGATGAGTTGCGCCACACACAAGGGCGCGGGCATGTGTCTTGCTCTCCACAAGCTGTAGCCTTGCGGAGCTGCAGGCTACAATAAGCAGGGTCCGTGCACCGGGTTCTCAAGGTCGCCAGACCTTCGAGCCTTTGTGGGTGAACACGGCGTCTACATTCTCATAAACAACTGAGCGAGGATCTGGAAGCAGCCCGCAGTGGCCACACGGCCTTATTTATCCATGGTCCTGCGGAGCCTATCACACGCCCTGCATGGAGTAGACGCCTACTGGATGCTTGCAGAGTGACGGATTCGAGGACCCCTTTGGATATCAGCCGGGTCGCCCATGTACATAACTAGTCAACCGCGGTCCAAACTCACCTCTTCTTCCCCGGTGACTTGCAGGAAATGGCAGTATTCATCTTGAATGGACAGAAACTTGGCTCTTCTCGTCCCTTCAGCATCCTTAAGGCTAGCCAGGCTCTCTTGAAAATACTGCTCAGCCACATCTGAAGAAGAACATCAGGACAACCACTGTGAAAAGTGTTTGCCGATTTGAAATGGAGACAGAATAAACATGCTCTTAGCGGCGGTGAACTATTTGAAAATAACAAACATTTGCATAAGACAACCCAGTTCAGGAAACTGTCTTTTGCCCATTAAGCTGCCTGTCACATCAGAAAAGACCGAGGTCTCCGAGGGACACGGCAATTTACTTGCCTTGGTTTTTCATTCAGTTTAGCTCTCCCGGTGATGCACAAATGCAGACCGCCCCCCAGACCTGAAGGTCTGGGCAGGTTTTCAGGCCGATTCAAGAGACCCCTCTCTTTCAGTGGGGGGTGGGGAGGGTCTGTCCACTCTGAGACCAGCAGATACATTTCTAGAGGATTCCTCCCCATTTTCTCTCGGTAGGAGAAAATCCTGCTGCATGACATCCCTTTCACGAGCAGCTGACTCATGGAGAAAACATCCCAGACTCAGTGCTCAGACTAAGTGTTCCCTTTGGCAGCTCTGAGGATCTAAGGACAGCAAGTGTGACGTGAGGTGGCATTTCTTTGGTTGACTGAAAACACTACCCCCATGGACATTCCGTGGCTAGAAGTTAATGAGGGTGTTCAGGAGTGGCAGAGGTCAAGGGTATAGGTGGGAGCTGGGGCTGAAGGGGCAGGGACTGGGTTTCAGACCCTGGGCGTTGGCGCGTGGTGCTGTGCTCAGATGAAGGAGGTCAAAAAAGCTGGGGAGCATTTCCCTCCCCTTCCCGAGTAAGAATCCAGTCTCTCAGACAGATGGACACAGCCACACTTGACACCGTTCTAGCCCCTTTCTTGTCCATTTCTCCCACCTCGTGGTATCCCTTCCCTTAAGGGTCACATGCTGACCAACGGCCCCCCAAAAGCACCCCATTCAAGCACCCCTGATTGCTACATGCTCCTTTCCCTTCGTGGAGCTGATCTCACAGAGGTGCTGGGAGAAAGGAAGCTGTTCTGCCTAATTCAGACTAGTGTGTAAATGGCTCACGACCTCTGACTCAGGGAGACCTGGTCATGTTTTCCAAAGAGGATGCTTGTTAGCACATATGAAACTTTGGAAGGAGTGGAAGTGAAGGAGGAAGGAAGGGAGGGGAGAGAGGAAGGGATTTATTACTTAAACGAAAGCCAGCCCGATGACTGAGGTGAGGAGAGCTAGGTGTTGTGCTGGGACGTCAGAGACGGGCCCTGTCTGGCATCTGCCCTTGGGGTCAGCCTCCTCAAGTTCCTGCTTCCTTTCCTCATTTCGGAGGCATCAGCTTTACCAGAGGTCCAGCCTTTTCCCATTTCTGTCCCTGGAAGGTCTCTAGTCTGAGGGAGGCGGGCGGCAGGGGGCTGGTTCGCTGACCTCTGTCATCAGGTGCCACTCGACCCCACATCAGGACCCTGGTGTGTCAGAAGAGCCAGCGCTCAGAAGGAACAGAGGGAGGCAGAGGGCACCCACTGTGGGCACCTCCTCTGTCTGTCAACAGGAAACCGCTATCATCTTCACCTGGGACCCAAGAAAACGCCCCAAGGCAAGACCCTCCAAGCCCAGAAATCACCTTTCTGAATCCGGGCCACATGATTACTCTTTGTGGGGAGAGCGAACTGGACGGTCAGAGGTTATTCTCCGGGGGCTGAGCACCCGCAGGAGGTCCCTCTGGGACAAGTGGCAGCGGGACCTCCGAGGGCTAGGTCGCGGCAGTGCGGGCGGATGCCACCGCCCAGCGTGCCCCTTGTGCTGAGCCGGGCGGGGGCTCAGAGAGCCAGCAGTTCTAGCGCTCGCACATGGCCACCCCCTCCTGTTCTAGAACCCTCTGCAACCTGACGCCCTGGCCCAGCGGAGGGTGAGTCACTTTCTAAAGCAGAGGAGCAGGGCCCAGCTTGTACATCTGAGCCCTCGGCACAGGCCGAGTCCATTAATCTCCCGTGTGCACGCCAATCGAAGGGTTAGGCCGCCTGCGCAGTAGAGAGGGAGAGTGGCCGGGGGGCAGGGTGGCTCAGGTCCCCGTCAAGGCCGCGTCAGACTCTGTTCGTCTGTGTGGCTTCAGGCAAAGACTAAGAGGAATGCAGGGCTATGCCGGGCACACTGGGGGTCAGGAGGCTTTGCATTAAAGAAAGTCCCAGCAGCCCTGGGCTCACGCTGTCCTAGGCCAGAGCTGGCTAAGCGAGGGCAGCTTCTTAGGAGGGAGGCCTGTGCGTATAATGGGACAATTATCGTCGGTGACAGTCTGTGCTCTGCACTAACTGTGAAAGCATTAAGGACCCCAGGGAATTTGAAAATGGCCAGTCGTAAAGCCTCCCTTGGCCTGAACCCAGAGGAGCACCACCACCCGGCAAACAGATGGAACCCATTTAGATCCTGCTGGGCGAGCCCTGCGGGCACCTGCAGGGCTGGGGGTGGGGCAGGGGTAGCCTGAGGACATTTGAGGGAGCGCAGGACTGGCTGTCTCCTGCTGCCCAGCCCTGGGAGCTCCGCACGGGACCGGCTCCCTTTCGGGGGGCCTGGCCATGGCTCCCGGGAGCGGCACACCTGCTGCCCACTGGCTCAGTCCCAGGAGTCCACGGCTGTCTCTGGGGCATCAGTGGAGGGAGGTGACCAAGATGGTGGCATGGATGAGCCCGGCGCCCACAGGCCCAGTCAGGGACTCATCACCACGGGGATCTGTCCTCACCTCCAGGTCCTGATCAGGACCCCACCCCTCCCTGACCAGCGCTGGGGCCTTGCTTTGCCTCTAACTTGCATAGTGACCCTGGATACGCCTTGGACCCCAAATCTCTAGATAGGATGTGTTCTCCTTTTTTTTTTTTTATCCTCACCCGAGGACATTTTTCCATTTTTTGTTCAGGTAGAGTGGGAGGGAGAGAGAGGAACAGAGAGAAACATCGACGTGAAAGGAACACATCGAGTGGCTGCCACCCGCACGACCAACCAGGGCCGGGGACAAACTGCAACCGAGGTACATGCCCTTAGTGGGAACCGAACCCGGGTCTCTCCGGACTGCAGGCCGATGCTCTAACCGCTGAGCCAAACCGGCCAGGGCTAGATAGGATGTGTTCTATGAAGCCTTCCAGAGGTTTCTGAGAAGGGGTCCTTCTAATGATGACAGGCTTCCCTTTGCTTCTCTGCCCCTCCCCCCAGCCCCGCCTTTGGCACAGAGCAATGTGGATGCCGACATCTGCTTGGGGAGCTCAGAGGCAGGCCGGGCTCGGGCTGGCTGGTGTTTTGTGTAAGAGGTGGGCCCTGAGCGGAGCGGAGGAAGGACCTGTCAGAGCACACCTGGGTCAAGGCGGGTGGGAAGGCTGAGAAGGAATGAGGACGGAGCGGGGAAGAATGAGGCAGGCGGGGGGAGGGGTGCCGGTAGTAGCTTACACTCATCTCGACCAGCAGGGGCCGCTAAGGGGGCCCGGGAAGGCAAAGGACACCTGACTCTGGCTGCTCCCAGGTGGCCATGGGACCTGTCAGGAGCCCATTGGAGCTGAGTGCGTGAGTATGCAGGGGCTGTCTGACTTCTGGTCTCTCTGGGACACACAAGACCCAAGGTGCGTCGGTAACCCAGTGAGCGGGGGGCGGGCTGGGATGGGGCCGGGCCCAGCACGGGGCAAACTGAGACGGCAGGTCGCAGGAGGAAAAGGGAGGGCTGTGTGGGGTAAAAAAGAGGAGACTTCATCGAGATACAGTGCCCAGCTTCAGACACATATTTCATGTCTACTGTGCAAAATGTGGGCAGAGGCTGGGACAAGTGGGGGCCGGAGAGACGAAGGTAATGTGCACCCCATAAGTCTGGTCCACGCAGACAGGGACCCCACTCCCTGCCCCCAAGGCTCTGATGCGGCGCAGCCCGTTCCGTGTTGATGTCTCCGGACCCCGAGCAGCTCCCAGGCACACTGCAGCCCAGGCTGCAAATGAGGTCACTTCCAAACAAGGCAGCCTGTGCTCAGCGGGCTCCGCCTCCCCAAGGTTTACACTGAGATGGACTTGGCTGCAACACATCTCGTTTTCACATCCTTTACGAGAAGAGTTATAAACCCAAGGCCAATGCCCCGAGCACTTAGCAGGGCTGGGAGAGCTGTTACTACCAAGTTTGTCTATGGCTGCTCTGGGAAGCCAGCCTGGCTCAGGTTAGTGACATTCCGGGAGCCCGGAGTGAGAGTCCTTATGCAATCGCATCCTCCGTGACTTCTAGGGCAGTTTTGTCTGCATAGGAATGCAGGGAGGGCTCGGAGCAAAGGGCTTAGCCTCACTGAGCAACCTGAAGCACGCTGGCTTCTTGGCCAGGGGCATTTCCTCATCAGAGGGCAATGCCTTTCATGGGCATTCAGCAAGCAGGCCGTGGTGATTCCCCAAACAGCACATTTTCCCCATTAGTTATTCTTTTAATAAATACATTGTACTCAGCAAAGACAAGCTTAGGCACAGGGGAGCAGAGCTGAGATCCCATGCAGGTACATGCCCCTGGCACCCGGTGGAACGTGTTGGAGCTGACCACCCTCATCACACTCATGCTCTGCAGGCATGGAGCCGGCCACCAGGCGTGTTTCGCCTCACTAAGAGCCTGGAACATATCTGAGTTAGTCGCCATCGGTGACGGACTGATTTCATGTAAAAATCCAGATTTCCGCCTTCTCTTGAAGAAGCAGATCTGCCTTCCACACAGCAGCAAAGGGCTGGAGCGGAGTGGAACAGGGGAGGGGCTTCTCCAGTTTGCCACAGTCCCCACCACTCTCTATTGTCTCTCTCACACTATAGCCAACAGGTACCTGCCATCTGTAAGCGTGCTTGCTGCTACTCCTGTTTTCCAGGTTCCTATAGACATTTAGATTCATGACTCCATCAAACATGCCTCTGCATTTTAAAAAGTGTCTTATACCATTTGGGGAATGGAAGGTTTCCCCTGGCCCTGTTAAAGGAATTTTAGGCACCAATAAGCTGGTCAGAATGTTAGCCCTTTGGAGGTTTTGAGATTGATTGTCATGTATGGGGTTAGAATCAGAAAGGTCGCCTGCCCCCCCCCCCCCCCCAGCTCTACGAAGGCACCTAGAGCTCAAGGAGACCGGAATGAGGTGGGATGGACAGGGACAAACACCAGCATCCCTTCACCAACTCCTCCCTGGACCAGAGCCTCGGCCTGCCCAGGGATCTCTGCTGCTCCCTGCGGCATCCCTGCCAGCTTCTCCCACTCGCCCGCCTCCCCCACTTAGCCCAACCCCTGCTTCCTGAACCCCACCCCAAGCCTCCCTGGTATGTCGACGTTAGGCTGGCTCTGGCACGCTGAACCTCATTTTCTATAATAAATAATTATTTTTATCTGATATCTTAAAATACACGCTGGGTCTTCTTTATGAGTCAGATTCTGTTCCTGAGTATTCTGACCGAACGACACGAAGTCCGCGGAATGTGTGCCCTCCGTCCACAGTGCATGCTCTGGTCCCGGGGTGGCGGACTAAAGACCCCCCCCCCCCGGCCACCCCGGCTCACTGCTCTGCCTGCTATTCGGGGCTACGCAAAGCCATGTGAGTCCTGATTGGCCACTTCCTTTAGAGTCCCGGAACTGTAAGCCCATCCTAATCGGAAGCTCAGTCCTGCGGGCTGGACCAGGTCTCCAACAGGCCAGATCTGTTGCCATGGTAGTTCCACAACAATCCTCAAAAATAGATCACCTTTGAAAGCAGAGAGATTTCCCTGTCGGTCCAGCACGGATTCTCTGGGGCTCTTTTTTTTTATATATCCTCACCCAAGGACACATTTTTGCATTTATCTTCAGATCGAGCGGGAGGGAGAGAGGGATGAAGAGAGCGAGAGAAACATGGAGCTCTGTGGCTCTTAACAGCTGTGTTTGGATAAAGATTCACTGGATTTGAAAATAAAAGATTAAAGGCAGAACAGGGAGATGCCAAAGGACTCTGATCAAGCTGAGTGACACCGCTGAGATGACTGGCCAGAGCCCCAAGGCTCCCCGAAGGGCCGATGTCATAGCTCCGTCCACCTGCTCACCCATCCCAAAGGCCCAGAAGTGTGCAGGACAGGTGGGGAGCGGGCGCCCCCGTCGCCCACAGGAGGCTGGCTCTCACCCTGGTGCTCGGGCCTGCCGGAAGCAAAGGCGGCGTGGGCGACACGGTGCGCGGACAGCGCGGCCTCCTCTTCAGACGGCTCGCTGCTCAGGAGGATGAGGTGCGCCTGTTGCCATGGGAAGAAGAAACACGCTTGTTTACATGCTTGGCAGCAGCGGCCGGGAACTAGCTGTTCTTGGAGCGATAAGCAGAAAGACAAGGAACTTTCTAGCAAGCTGGACAATGTGATTTATGCGAAGCACGGTCCATTCTTGGGAGAGGTGGGTTTTAAAAGCATTGTGTGGGGGGGGGGGAGGACGCACTGGGTGCTGAGTCCAGGTGGCTGGATGCTGCGGCCAAGGCCACCCCGGAGTAAATCATTTAGAAGGCTGTGCTCCTATGACAGCAGAGGAGGTGGGAGGGTTCAAAGGGCAAGGAGATGGATTCAAAGGGCCAGTGCTGTGCAGAGGAAGTGGACAAGCCCAGACCCCTGCCCACTGGCCAGCCCAGCAAGAGGGAACCAACCCCCGTGTCAGCAGCCTCACCCACAAACCCAGATCCCCGCCCCATGCCTGACCCAGCAAGCCCATTTGCTCGCAAATTTGCCCATTGCAAGCCCTGGAGAGCTGCCAGGGCACAGAACACAGCTCAGTTCCTTGGTGGGGGAAAAAAAGTCCATTTTTACATTCTTTAAGGAGAAATACAACCCTGTGATCCTAGGGACATAAAATAATAATAAAACTTTCAAATAAAATGCATGATGTACCGCATAAATAAAAAGATATAAAATACATAAATAAAGAAAAAGGTAAAGTTACTTCTCATCTGCCTGTCAACATTAGGAGTTTTAAAAATACATGCGAGGCCCTGGCCGGTTTGGCTCAGCAGCTAAGAGCGTCGACCTGCGGTCCAGAGAGACCCGGGTTCGGTTCCCACTAAGGGCACGTCCCTCGGTTGCAGTTTGTCCCCGGCCCTGGTTGGGTCATCCGGGTGGTGGCCACTCAATGTGTCCCTTTCACGTCGATGTTTCTCTCTCTCTCTTCCTCCCTCTCCCTCCCACTCTATCTGAACAAAAAATAAAAATAAAAAAATGTCCTCGGGTGAGGATGAAAAAAAAAAAATGCATGTGAGTAATATGTTTACATTCATCCGATAAACAGATACTTACAGATTGCCTCCTACGGGAGGGGCATGGGCCAGAAAGCGAGGCAGTACGGAAAGAAACAGACAGAAAACACGAAGTCACACAGCACGCTGAGGTGGGAGAGCAGTTCACAATCGATTGTCGAAACAGAAAGACTGAAACACCGTGAGTTTAAAGGAGAGAACCGCTAGGCCAACGTACTAACAACAACTAACATTTAAGCTGCATACTTTAATTCTTTTTCACTTGTGATACCCACGGCAATTTTCGTGGCAGTTTTTATTGTCCTCATTTGATAGCTGGGAAAACTGAGGTTGCTGAATGGGTGACTCGCCCAGGGTGTCTCACAGCTGACAAAGGATGGAGCTAGGACTCGGACCTTGATCCTCTGACGTCCGATTTGCTTCTTGTGCCATCGGGAAGGCTGCTGTCCCGCCCCCTCCGGCCCACGCGGCAGGCAGTGCTGATGATGCCGCACACTCCACAGCCTCCAGGAGCCAGGACCAGTCCACGGGAGCCGGAACAGCAGAGAAAGGCCACACCACGGGAACCTTCTAGTCCAGACCAAGCAGGGGGGCAGGGGAGCCACAGAGACTTGCTCCTCTGATGACCAGCCTCAGGGAGACTGTCACGTGTGAACAGCAACCGACTTAGTACCTCTGGACTTTCTGTGGCGGGGGCTGCTCTCAATCCAGGTTGCTGGCCCTGACTTTCACGGCTGTGCTAGAACCGTCGGAATTGCATACTCATCGACGCTAATAATATCCTTTGTTTTGAAAAGACTTTTACTATTATAGGATATAAATCAATGGAAGAAGTGATTTGGGCAACCCCCGAGTTAGTCATTATCCTTCATTTGGCCTGAAGCTTTGACTTGAAGTGCTTTTCAAATAATGGGCACTCGGGGAAAGCAACTCCTTGGAAGCAAAGACAAAAGAAGCCCCAGGGACAGAGTCAAAGAAAAGGCAGAGTATAGAGAAGCCTGCCCCTTCCCAAGGCAAACGGAGTCCTGCCCACTTTGTTCCTGCCCTGGGCTCCTTCACGACCTCCACAGTCCACTACTGCTCAAAGCACCCGTGACTCATGCGTCACAAAGACTTTTAACACACAGGATCTGCGATGAAAACTCAAATGCAAAATGATTCCATGCATATTTTGTTTCTATCCACTTTGACTGTTCGGGTACCCTGGCTCGGCCACGCCCACGCAGCGTCTAGTCCTGGGCTGCCCCCCACATTCTCGCTGTCCATCCTCCTTCCTGCTGGGCCTGCCTTTCTTGTCTAGCTACAGTGCACCGTCCATCACTGTCAATGTCAAAAATGCCCTCAGCGGCCCTGGCCGGTTTGGCTCAGCGCTTAGACGTCGGCCCGTGGACCAGAAAAATGCCCTCAATTCCACTGAAACATGATCTGAGGTGGTAAAAAAAAGGGGGGAACCACCTAAATACCCACCAGCAGGAGGGATGAATGTATTATGGTTGATTTATATGACGACTGACCCCTTGCTACATATCCTAACATGCTTCCATGTCAAGAACAAGCCACTGAATGGACAAGCAACTTACAAAGGGACGCAAACATCATGGCATCACTGATTTTCACGTTTCTAAGCAACAGAACCTTCCATGCTTCTCTAATAGACAAAACAGGTAATAGACAAAGCAGGGAAGCAGGTGGAGAGGGCCTGGAAGCCCCCCACCTGCTCTCACCCAGCGACCCCCCCAAAGAGCCTCCTCAGAACATGGGGGCTCGGGGTGACAGAGATTCAGAGCCACAGTTCCAGCGGTGCAGCAGGCTCCTCGGGAAGAAAGGGCCCAGGAACGTCATAAAGCCATGATGTGCTTCTACAACCTTTCCGACCAGACCGCTGCGCACAATTCCGAATGATCTTTTGTTGGCTAAGAGGACACACACCCCTGTTACATGCATCTAAGAGCACCGGGGACCGGCCGGCAGAGTTCAAGGAGGCACAGGAGCCGCTGGCCCCTCCTGGCTTTCTGCAGGGGCGCGAGTGACGGCCCGCTGGGTGTCTGCGGCTTGACCGCACTCAGGCCTCGACATTTATTCATCCCCGAGGGCTCGAATCTCTCTTCGCCCGTCCTTTGCTGTTTTCGCTGTTTCGCGGCTAAACGTTTATCAACTGTTGTCTTCGCTGCGGAGGGCGGTTTAATATTCCTAACTCCCTTGGGCTGCTGGCATGTTGCACTCGGCGTAAAACAAAAGCACATACATGCAAGAACCCTTGAAGAGCCATTTGAACCTTTAGAAACCATACTGGGCGAGGTGGTGAGTTAAAAATCCCCATTCACAAGACCAGCCAGCTCCAGGCCTGCCGCGGTGCAGAGCGGCTACTGCATGCTGCCCACCGTACGTTTCCGGGGGAAGCCAGCGGGTCCTCGATGCTCGCACAGCGGTCGCTACAACGTGGCCACCGCCAGTCCCCTAACGGGGCCTGTCCCCTCGCATTTGGGAAATGTGCAATAGTTCTTGAAGAGAAAACCTGATGATGAGTAGTAACAAGGGTGTTTCTTGCACGGACACTCCACTTGAAACACCCGGATGGCTCCGAGTGGAACCCCAGCTCTTGCTGAGATAGATGTTCTAATCAATGCTGGAAGAGACCAGCATTGATTAGGCACCTACTCCTGCCCGGCGTGCTGCTCTGTGAACCACAGGCGAGCAGCCCGCTTAACCTCAAGAGGCCAGTGAGAGTGATGTCAGCCCAACTTCCTGAGCAAAAATGAAGCCTCAAGGACACTTAGCAACCGGCTGAGGTCACACAGTGGCAGAACAATGGTTCGAGCGAAGGCCGGGGACTCCAAATTGCTTGCTTTTCTAGTCTGAGGTCTGGTGATGAAGAGGGGCAAGGGTCCCAAAGGATGATTCTTCTCTAATCGATGTACTAATTCACTATTTAAGAGTCAGGGTTGCGAAGTAGTACCCCTGGCCCCGGAATCGAGTGGGCTGGTTCGGGGACAGTGAGCTGTCAATATGTGGACACCTAGGCAGCTCCTGAGGACTAACGGGAGAGGGGCACCAAAGAGGGGACAGTCAGGCAGCGGACGGTGGGTGGAGCACGCGTCAAGGGGCTCCCACCACGTGCCCGTGTCTCTGCTTTGATTCTCAGCTGTGCCTTAATTCAACAGCTCAAGCGCACTTGCCACTGTGAGGTGTGAGCCTGCGGGTTTTTTAACCGGCCAGCTGTGGCGCTCCGTGGATTTTGCTCTCAGCCCTGCCAAAGCCCGGCGCGGACGCCCTTGTGCGAGGCAGGGTCACGCCGCAGCCGGAGGGTGCCACTTCCTTTTCTGCCCCATCTCTGCCCAGTAGGGAAGCCTTTCATGGTGGCACATACCACAGGGGCTTTGGGGCTTCTGGGGGGCCTTGGCTCAGAGAAAGACGGAGCTGGGAATCCCTGGGGGAGCAGATGAAAGGGAAGTCACTGGGTGCCCAAGGCAATAGAAAGCTGAGTTCTCAGGGCCCCAGAGCGAGCCAGGTTCTTTTAATAGTCAGAGAAAGTCCCCGGGGCAGCTCTCCAGTCGTCAATTTTAGCTCCTCCAAAGAGCTGGAGCGCACGGCCCCACCCTCTCTGTGAGGGTTCGCACCAAAATAGACGTGCTGGGGGCTTCTAGTTTCGCCCTCTTTTGGTTGCAAGTGTGCTTTTTCTTACAACTGAACTAGGTTTTTAATTGGAACGGTTATACCTGCATATAATTTTTAAAATCCTCAGCGGTCGAAGAGAAGAGACAAAATTTTAAATGCCCCCACCTTCTGTCTGTAAGTCACACCCTCCCTTCTCCCCGGTCCACCTGATTCCTTATAGCTCAGGGCTGTTTCCTGTGTACCTCTGGGAAATACTGATATGCTTCATACAAAACACACACGTACAGGCACATGTTCTTACACACACACACACACACACACACACACGCCGTAACCTGGCCTAGCCCTTGTCTCAGCTCAGCTTTATCACCCACCACCCCCTCT